GTTAAAGACGTCTTTGAATTTGTGGATACAATTAAAAATATGAATATAAATGGCAAAACTATGTTATCACTAGACATAACATCTTTGTTCACTAACATCCCTCTGACTGAAACTATTGATTACATATGTGAACAATTGCTAGAAAAGAAAATAGAGATACCGATCCCAGTAAGTAAAATGAAAGAACTTCTATTGAAATGCACCATGAATATCTACTTTAAGTTTAACAATGAATTTTTCAGACAAGTAGATGGGGTGGCAATGGGATCACCTCTAGGCCCGATCCTTGCTAATATTTTTCTGACCAAACTAGAAAATGGACCGCTTAAAGAAGTCCTAAGTAAGCTTGATTATTACTGTCGATACATAAATGACACAATAATCATATGTGACGAAAATATCGACAAACAGGAGATGTTGGACTCTTTCAATAATGTCCACCCAGCCATTAAATTCACCAGAGAAGAGGAGAAAGACAATAGTATAGCTTTTCTGGATATCCTACATTCTAGAAGGACAGACGGTTCCATAAAGCGAAATATATTTAGAAAGAGTACATAGACGGGTCAGTATACCCATTTCCAAAGCTTCACACCTCTTCAATATAAAATAAATTTGGTTAAATGTCTCAACCATAGAATCAAGTTATTATGTTCTGAAGACAGTGTGGATGACGAAATAGATATACTAAAGAACACATTACGAAATAATGGTTATCCTGATAATTTCGTTAAAAAATACCTCGTACAAAGTACTAAAAAAAGGAGAAATTGTGACACAGTCAGTAAAAAGACCTTATATCTAAGAATAGACTTTAAAGGGGACATAGCGGGTGATATTTTAAGACGTCGACTCAAAAGATCTATCGAAAGGACGTTTCACGCCGCCAAACTACACATCATTTTCTCAACTAAACCAGTACTCACACAACTAATCAAGGATAGGTTACCGAAGATGGGCTCTTCCATGTGCTCATGTGGAGCTAGTTACATAGGCCGTACTCAGAGGGTTTTATCCTTGCGTGTTCGTGAACATGTACCAGCTTGGTTGGGAAAAGGAGTTACCAAATCAATTAACAGCACCATTCTTTCTCACTTGGTAGATAGTGAACATCATATTAAAATAGAGGAAGCTTTCTCTGTTTTATATCAAGTTCCAAAATATCTACCTCACGGAGCAAGATTACGACTGCTTTACATAGCCGAAACCATCTGGATCAACTCCAGGAGACCAAATTTATGTATCCAGAAAAAATATATCCAGCCTCTTTGTTTACCTTGGCCTACGACTGGATCACCAAATACCTAGACTGAATATTATCATTATTTTTGGTTATCTCTATCTTAATCTTCACATCCATCATTCCCAATTCGTTGATCTTAATTACCTTGATAACACCCTCCTTATTACATATTATATTCACACAACAATCTCCTTATTATTATTATCTCAATTGACAGGATTAAATTCTCCTACTATGCATTTTATCCACACTTTTTTTTGCATTTTGATTTTTGCTATAATACTATTCTCTACTTATTGTGACTGAACACTTTACTGTAAATCATCCTGACCTTTATTGAATGACCTTCCTAATTTGTCAAATATTACAATTTTGAAGTATATATATATCGTAACAGGTGAAAACGTTCACCATTTTTAACATATAACATTGTCAAATTCATTAATACATGCCTTAATTTTGGCCTTTGTAAATTATTATAATTATGGACTTATAACTGTAGAGCCTGATGATGAAGTTATTGAAAACAATTGTTTACTCAAATATTCATCATTTTTGAATTTACTAATTTGGAAGAACATTTCTTATATTTGAGACTTAATGAAATGAGATATGCTACTTGTATTACTCTATCAGCTGATACTATGTGATAATACCACGTGCAGGATTTCTGTTTACAGGCGTCATTTTCTAGGGCGTTCTGTTGACTTCGTGCTAAATGTTTTTATAGTAGTTGAGAAACTGTGGCTCCTAGTAGTACTTAAACTCACATTATCCAATGCTATAATTGCAGAGACGTTATCATAATATTCAACTCTCCATTAATCTACTACACGACTGAGAATGTTTCAGTCACTGATCATTAACAGTAAATAATGTCATATTTTCTAATCATTGGTTGTAATCAACTTCTACTCATTAAGTTACAACTCGTAATGATATTGGTTAATATTAAGTGATCAATTAAAAATATATCAAGTACTTGTGAATCGGAAAGAAACGAGATACAGTTAATCGTATATTTTTACTCAATCTGTTCATCAAAAGAAACTGAACCACGCTATACTTTACCTATAATCATGAAAACCAAAATGAAAGACACCTTAGTTAAACTAATGATAAATGTTGACAAATGTTTCAAGAAATGACTAGTATAGGTTGTACGTAAAACATTAAAATTATTTTAACTAATATAAAATTGGTAAATACTATCGACCGATATTTTGGACTTTATATATGTTACATAAATTACAATTCGAACAGTGTATTCAACAAGAGATGAAATTATCTTACATTAGCGATCAAGCGCTGTCGAAAAGTAATATAAAATTACAATGATTATCCTAGTCCCTTTTTTATTAGTCCAATAGTGTCTAGCAGCGGAATGTATGATGGGTGTTTCGTTCTAACTGGAAATTGTCAAGTGGATATACCCGGATCTCAAGGCTCGAACCCAGTACCTTCCGCTTAAAAATAAAACTATTCTAAACATTTAATCAAACCATATACTTCGAATTAGTGAAAACTTAAAAGCTAAAACCAAACGGCGCAAGTGAAAAAAACTTTAAGAATATGTAGATGAACAGAATAAATATTAACTCACCGGGCTTATATCATACTAATTTTGTTTTCAATTTTAGTCTCACTTAAACCATAAGTAAGTATTAGCAATGTATATTAAGATGAACGTTTTGAGGACCATGCATAAGCTGAAAATAATTTTTGATAAACAGTCACAGAACTAATGAGAGTCAAATGATACTGAACAGCTGATTTGTTTTGGTTTGAGACTACTCGGCAGTCCATTCATAATATCACAACGAGTCGGATAACATTAAATATTGAAGTTAAGATTTCATGGTCTCTATTTTCAACTTAAGTCAATTTGATCTGATCTTTACTCAGTCTCATTGATGGCTTACTGAATTATGAGGTACATTTGACTTAATTTACACCTCCGTTTCCACTCTATGATGATAAAATAATTTTCATAAGAATTTTAGACATTTTAAGAGCCATTCCACAATTTTGTGTAATTCAAAGTGAGACTCAATAATTTTTGAATTTCGTAGAAAAAAGCTGAAAGCCAATTCATCAATCGACCGTTGTACTTTTAAGATGTATGTAATATAAAGTCGAATCTGAATGATGCCAATTTAATTTATTACCTAAATTTTCTTTTTTACTAACTAAATTCAAATTTACTAAAAGACTTAATTGAATGAAAATATAATCTATTTGTTTATTTGTTTAGATGTAAGCAATAGTTTATACGGTGTAAATATATCTTCATCAACCATTACGTCATCAGCGCCAGATTGTTACGCATTAAATGATTTATCTTATTCGTTACACCAACCGCAACATGTTGGATTTACTACTTGTAATAAAATTAATCCTGCACTGCATGAAATACCAACAGTTACAATGAACCTTTACAATACTACTGATAATAAAAGTAGCATTAGTAAGAGTTATGACAAACATTTTGTGAATTTATGGAATATGGACTCATCAACGGTTATTGGACAAACAACAAACTCACTTGAAACAAAATATCCAACTCAATATTCTCATTAGGGATAGAATCGGGATATACAATCAAAAGCATACTGAGAAAATACAAAATTTAATTGATTATTCGGCTCTACGACAATAATAATAAGACAATAAAAGCTTAACTTATCAGTTGTTTCTGAAAAACTACTTCATTACAACTGTGTGCTGAATTCATATTCATATGGATTTACAATAAATAACTTGAGGTAATAGACTACATATTTCGTTTCCATAAATAATATGTAATTTAAAATTTCAGAAAATAAATTTGTATTTATTGGCGAATTAATAACACTTGAATTTTATGCAGTAAACATAAATTATTCATTTATATTTACTAAAGGAAATCGTGGAGTATAAACTGAAGATGGGACTTTGTGGTCAGAGAGTTCAACGCCCATCTCTTAGGTAGTTTCACAAACTGCAGTTCAATAGTTGGGTAGTATCACTAATCACCAAACTATTTGTGTGGCCAAAAGTTTAGTACATAAACTTGTACTTAGTAAATAAAATACATCTCATAGCAATTATATGGATTGTTTCTAAATCTGGTTTTAAGAGCTTTTAGAGTAAATAACAAAATGATTGAAATGTAATGGATCTGTAGTTCAGTAGGATATTTTGGTGATGTGTTATGTGAGCTGAACGAAATTACCAACCTTTCTTCCGGAAAGGAGTGACTTTACTTCAGGTGTCTCAGTTCATTTGATGACATGAATTGTGGTGGACAACCCGCACAGACTCCGTCATGCATTAGTCTTTCCATTCCAGTTGATTTTATCAGGATGAACAAGAGACTGATTCACCACTATCATGTACATTAACGAATTAAATATCGATATGTCTACTGATTGCGGATTGAATTAAATACCATGCTGTAGCATGATTTGAGTTCCCTGTATTCCCAATCCCGGCAATGTCTAGAAAAAATAGTTATTCCGTAATTGCGCGCATTTCATATGATGATACTTTCATACAACGTCATTTTTGGTACACGGTAGCACAAAAATCTCCTTATACCAGTAACTGGTGGCTTAAACACTAACTGGAGTATGTGACGGTTTACTATGCTCGTGTGAGAAAATTGTGAGTCAACTTATGAGTATATTCTGTTAAACATCTTTCTTCTTGCATATCCTCTCAGAGAAATGTATAGGTACTTAGAATTCATAAACACAAATAAAAATGCAATTGTTTTCTAAAATGGATATATACTTGTACGTAGCTAATTCATTGATATGTACATTTTTGCAGCACTCTCTAAAGGATCGACTTCAAAATAAGTTGATCGCAGGCAAACCATACAGATAAAATTTTGTAAAAAAAATAATGAACAAGTCATTTTCCTATACTTGTAGTACATAATAGGAATATATGGCAGAATTCTCATAGCGTTATTGTCCTATAATAAAAATGTACAAATATATTTCAAAATATTAAAAAAAGAGAATATGACACCCGTGTAATCACAGGGAAAAAACAACATCTGAGTTGATCAAACACTATGAATATCTTCAGAAATAAAGTACATCTTTTCATATAACTTTAGATATATTGTTGATATAAACCAGTTGAAAAGTAATAGCAATACATAGAATTAAAACTGGAAAAATTAAAATTTTATGACGAATTGATAACAAATTATTATTGGTTGACATAGTCACCTGGTTGTTTATTATTTTTCTTTGAGAGAAATAATTTGAAAGTGAACGAGGAGGCAAAAGAATTTGAGCATGTAGAAGATGTTTTTTAGATATTTGATTAGAATTATCTTGACGAGCACTTTGAGCAGCATGTTGAACTACTTGGACAACTTCTGCTCCTGTATAATTATTCAATTGATTTGTAGCGAATAAATTTAACCATTTAGAATTTAATAATGATTTATCTTTTAGTGCACGTTTTGATAATTCTAAACGTAGAATATCTGTCCGAGCTTCTGCATCAGGTGGTGATACTTCAATGACTAAATCAAAACGACCAGCGCGACTTAAAGCCTGGGAGAAAAGCATAAAAAGTTATTCCTAGTAAGCTGAAGATAACGAACAAAGAATAATTGTAATTCTTTTTGCAAACAGATGTGAAAATATGTACGAATGCAGAAAATAAATCACTGAACCTAATTTAAGAATAATTCGATTCAGTTGGCCACGACTTACGTATGTCCAGAAAAAGAGGAAGTGATCAAGAGATAATGTAATCGAATCGAGGTAATGACATCAACTGGAGTGAACGGTATACAACTGGTTTGAATGACGTAGAGCAGTAGACCTAGAGGTTATGGTGTTTAACTTCCAGCCACCAAGAACCTGGTCTGAATCCCCGTTCATCTACTTCAGTTTAAGCAAACTGACGTCATCATTAGCTTTCATACTTAGAGTGTCGCTTATATTCAGGTACATGATGAATGAGTTAATTTTTAACCGAACTCCAACTATATATATTACAATTATTCCAAACCTCAACAAAGAATTCTACATTTCCCAGCACGACAGATCAATATTGGCCGATTGCTTCATGAATTGTTTTTTACCATTCCTAACTCCTGTTTCAGACAGTAATGCGTGTTGAAGGGTGGTGACTGGGGATGTGTGAAATACATTCTAACCATCTCAGAAGACTATTTTATCAATCAATTCGGCATTTCTATACAATTATGTATCAGGATTAAATTTACACGATACTTGATATCGCAAGGCTAAAATTCACAGCAGATGCCAAGTGATCACACCTATTTACTCTTTGCTTGTACTCCTATACTGATTAAATGTGACACGTTTCTCTAAATAAGGTTGATGTACATGTTAAATCAGTTTTCGAGGTTTATAACTAGCTTTTGGTGGGAAATCAGATAAATGTAATTACCTTGTCAATATTAGGCATCTTTTTAACGTTTGCCTTATCAAACATCTTTTCATTAACCGAAACTTGTTTTATAAGCTTGAGAAAGTCACTATGTATCATGTAGGAAATCGACAACAATTGTTTGCTCACTTTTGCTCTAGACATCTTGATTATCAATCCAACTGGAATTATCTCTCTTAATGTTGTAGGTGCCAATCACATGTGCAAGTTTCACTTACCCAGACATTGAAAGTCAGCAGTAACAAAATGCACTTTTAAATCTAACTAGGACATCTTGATAATTATCTGCTACGTTTGAAGAGATTACGATATCACTTGAAGCCGACGAACGGAACGAAAGTCAGCAACACAACAACAGGAAAAGCTAAACTATTCCACTGCACCCCATCCCTGTTAACTAGAGGGAGAACACCAGATTAAGCTGGGGGAATGTATATTACACAAGCAGTCGAAAGCACGAATAAACAAGCCCACAACTCATGCGTATATATACAGTACAAAAATGTCCTTGACAAGCGTCACAAAATAGCGTACTAAAAAAGGGAACGAACCAATGACATTTAAGGTCTTTCTGAGTGGGAAATAAAACTGCAGCTAAAAGTGGTAGTTTTTGGCATGAAAATGAGAAACTCAAGTTCCCAAGATAAAATTGGGATATTTACCAGGTGACTTCTGTGGATCTAGCATTCCCAAATGCAATTTTCATGGGAAATTACGTTTTGACTATAGTCCAGTTAAAAGTAGAGGAATGATAAACAATGGATCTCTGCTAAATTAATAAATGTTTGGTGGGACACGAAACCTGAAGGTCCTCAGGTGAGTTCAGTCCTGTGTGGGGTAAGCGCATTTAGCTGAGGAATTTCAGCCTAAGACAAAACGATCGATTACTACTCGCATGTTTCCAGTGTTTATTCAGATTATAACCGCCAGTTATGAAAGCTGTTTTTAAAAAGTTAGATCAAACAATAATTACTCACAGAATCTAAATTATCCATCCTGTTAGTTGCTGCTACGAGAATTACTTGTCCATTTTGACCTTCAACTCCGTCCATAGCCATTAGGACTTCACCTAAGACATGTTCACTTGCACTTGTTTCTCTAAATAACAACGAGAAGTTTCAAAAGATATCAGAATAAAATATTCAGAAAAAGATAAGATGTATGATTGTTTGAAGTCTGGAATGGATGAGGTAACTCTCCTCTTGAGCACCTGATTCAAACTACTTTAGCTATTGCATGCCCGGAAAAACTCCCAAGAGAAATAACGGGATTATTTAACTTCCGAGACTTTCACTCACATAATTAATATCCGATAACTTATGTAAACCAAACACTCAATTTTGTGAAACTGTCTGTTTATATGTAGAGTTGGACGATGGCAAGGATTGGAATTCAGGGCGCGCATCTTGTCCTATTCGGGACTCGCCAGTTACCAGACAACCTATGCAAATGAATTAGTTTATACTTTAACAACAGTGCAGAAAGTTATGATACACAAATTAAAACATTAATGACATTAGCAGCTATTTACAGGTAGTATGTATACTAGGTATTAAGCCCGACCTAAATTGTGAAAGTTAATAAGACGCTACTCCACTATCAGAAAGAAATAGGGTAAGGCAGGCTTTAAATGTCCTGTATCAAGTGACAGATTATTAACTAAACAATTCGAGAAAGAATCCTACATCTTATTTTGATAAGCTTGAAGACTTCATGGCACTTAGAATTACGCATCACTAGAAAATAAAATGATACAAATCAATGACTACATGTATAGATTTGGATACTAGTGTTCGAGACTAAATTAATTCATCAAGAAAGAAGTTAGATGGACTATAGCAATACTATGTAGATAAATATTACAAACCCTGAATTTCGGGAAGGAAGCAACAAATCAATTTCATCAATAAATAAAATAGCAGGAGCAGAAGCACGAGCATGTACAAGAATTCTTCGCATGTTACGTTCACTGTCACCAACATAACGACCAAATATTCTAGATGCCTGAACTGCGATTAGCGGGAGTTGACATTCAGTAGCCAAAGCTCGCACAAACATAGTTTTGGAACAACCTAAGCACAAAAGATAAAAATCTCAGTATAAATGAAAACACTGAGTGAATAGTGAACAATCTAATACATTAGTTTAAAAAAGTTCCATATTACGTGACAAAATAAGTTTAGTGATTTAAAATAATGTGCAGACTCAAGGGCTGTATCAAAGCTGTATGAATAACACTTTCTCATCTTTTTAGATAAGTTATCAAAAAGCATACAGTTACTGATAAATCTTCCGACTGAACGCTTGAATCTGCTTCCTAAGTTCTTCTAATAACCCTAGACTAGCTCTACACGACAACTTGAACACGAGAAAAGGCGCGAAATATGGAAAGAACGCTTTACTCCATGGTTAGTTTGTGTGAAGAAAGTCTAGAGTATTTATAGCATTTCAGATGACTTTGGTTTTTCTGAAACTCTTCCAAACATTGTGGTAGGATGGATAATCGTCCAATCAGAAATGTGACACACGACTCTGAACCTTCTAGATGTTTCTGAGGAACTTCGACTTGATGGTGGTTGGATAAAATGATTCCTAGTGTTTTCAGGGCAACTTTGGGCTTTTTTGAGGAATTTTCTAGGTCTTCCCAACACCTTCCTCCTTCTAAAAATAAGACTTTTCCTTCGAGTCTACTTGAAGCTTGATGACTGGTTTCCGGCAGCGTTTCGACCTCTTTGGTGTCCAGTGACTATGAATGTCCTTGAAAGTTCCTGTCATTGGAGTACATGTAATTATCTCCGGTGAAAGATGCACTCGTCCATCTACCGTGTTCAACGTCTTTTTTTCTTTGTGGATTCGATTGACGTATCTAAGCCACGTTTCAAACGTCCCGCACAATTTTTACAAAACATTTCTTATTCTATTTTCAAAGACTACAGGTTTTCAACGACTTTTTCCAAGGTATGACTTGATGACCACTTGATCACCTACGTTAAAACTTCGGATAATCTGATTTCGTCTGCATCTATCAACTGGTTCAGCCGGCAACAGGGTTTCTAATATTGGGAATACAGAATAAAATTTAAGTTTGCGGAGATGGTTGGCAAGCAAAACTTACCAACACCAAACATAACACAGTAACATGAAAATTGAAAGTAAAAAGCATATACTAATTATAATAATCATCATGTGCTCACTAGTCACTGGCTTCATAAGGCATTTACTGGAGTTCTAGTGAGAAGCAGTGACCAGTTCAGCCGGATCTGTTATGAGATAGTGACTCACTGAAGACAATGGAGGATGGTGGCGCTATTTCGTGGATTGATTGAAATTATACATTAACACCGTTAGATGCCGGCTCAGTGGTCTAGTGGCTAAGCGCTCGCGCGCGAGACTGATAGGTCCTGGGTTCGAATCTCGCGAAGCGGGATCGCAGATGCATGCCGCTGAAGAGTCCTACAACAGGACGAAACGGCCGGCCAGTGCTTCCAGGTTTTCCGTGGTGGTGTAGCTTTAATTGACTCATTAATTCAACTATTCAATTACTACAAACTCTTTTCTGATAATCTGGGATTCGACGATCGAATATGGCGTGAGCATATGAAACACTAGTTTACAGAACACTACCAGGCACTGAAGAATTATATACCTACGTCTTGCTGAATACTTTAATAATGACGAAATGAACAAACCTAATACGTAGTGGTTTCAGTAACAAATTTAATACGGATGTGTTAATAACTACAGTGGTATTGTTGAGTATTTACAAATAAAACTAATTGTAGGCATTTATAATTTATAGAATGAACATTATTGAAATAAATGTACACTGTGATTAACGATTCCGATTTTCCCAAAATCACACTGAAATGGTAAATTAGCGCTTTCTAATTAACACGAGTTTGTCTGCCGATATGTTTTTAACAGTTATCTTTTATCTAAAATAATGAATAAGATCGTATTCCACATTTTTCTGGTTTCGGTCAGCGATGAAGCACATTAATTCCGTGGCCGTTGTGAGATTTAGAAGATTCAGTTATGCAAATAAAATTTTATAAAATGTAAATTAAAAACCCGCAAATGGAAAGTAACTTGCCTGGAGGACCATGAAGTAATATCCCACGAGGTACACGAAGACGCAGAGCAGCGTCCGCTTGTGCATCTACGCTATTGGGTTTGGCAGCACTAACCAAACGATCCTGTATCATAGTTTTGAATATGAGCTTCAGTTCACGATATCCACCAATATCAGTCCACCTTAACGGTTCCACTGAGGTTATATGTTGAGAAAGATTTATCGGCAAATATGAATAAGATTCATTCATCAAAATTTCACAGAACAAATTCAATGATTGATGAAAGTTTCTGGTTCTGGGAAAATCTTTTGAACTGTCGTTCTGTTTGGATAGGAAGGTTGCGTAGCTGACATGAACCAAGCGAACCAAATCCCTTTAAAAAACGACAGAATCAATAAGTAAAATTATATGTCCGGAAAAGTCGAGCTTTATGAATCATCCCAACTCGAAACACAAAATGATAAAAAAGTATTTATGACTCAATAGTAGGTTTCGTAAAAGATGTTTAATTTAGAACACAATTAGCATCAATGCAGAAAGATTATTATTACAAACTACGACTATTAACAAATGACTTAATCAGTGCAAATCATAAAAAAATTAAAAATATATTGTAGTGTTAACATAGAGATTCTATAGAAATACAGTTTTCGAATGAATTAGTTCATCTAATAAGTACAAAAACCTCCTGCATATGTCAAGAAAGCTATGAAGTCCCTGAAAGATAATCCACTAAATAAGTTATGTGGAGTAATGACAGAGTTAGTCATTTGACGAACAACATACGTCTATTTCTTTTATACGTTTATTGAGAATAACCACATAAAGAAAACAAGACAGAACAAGAAGAAAGTGGCGGCACAAGAATACAAATTTCATTTGTGTATATGATCAGTCAGCAATTACTCCTAGAGTTAACAGAATTTCGAGAATGGTTTAACCGAAACACAACACATATTCATTCCAGTTTATAAATTGATTAACGTTGGCGACGTAGAGATCCTGGTTGGAGTCTACAGGGCAATCATAATCTCAACAAGTGGAGACGTTGGGTGACAAGGTTTAAATTAGTTGCTATAGTTCTTGTATATTCATCTTTTATTCTTCCTTTTATTTTATATTCTTCTATGTATCTTATTTAGTGACTTCGTTATTTTCGCGTTACATCCCCCAAGAATGGTTGGTCACCATTTACCTTGGGACTGCATTTCCTTACGGTGTCCCACTGTCTTGTGGATCAGACTTTCATGTCGAAGGCTCCGGGTATGGCCCCTAAGAAAACCTGAGTTTGGACGCCCGGACAGTATCACAGTCCATGCACAAATAAAATCAAATGACAACAAATACCGGAAATACTGTTCTCGCTTCTATTAAAATTCAAACAACTCACATCCATCAGATAACATTCATTTTTATTTTTTTTATATATTGCGTCACTTATCGAACTCCGCCTGTAGCTCTTCCAGAGTTACTTCCGATCCCAAGCCCGGGTAAAGGAGGAGGGTTGGGCATGGGGTTAGCGTCCCCATCCCGTAGAAAACTAACTCGCTAAAAAAACGCTTACCAGAAAAAATAATCCAAACCATTTTAACTCTGTCCTGGGAGTTAGAAGGTCTTCATTTAGAAGAATTATGACGCTTCATGGTGAAAGCCGAGTTCCTTCGGAAGCCACGAGGCCGATGCCCCTTCTAACAACCAGAGCAAAAATTTTTATAGGTACATGGAACGTTAGAACAATGTGGGAAACCGGGAAGACCAGCCAAATAGCAACGGAAATGAGGAGATACAACTTGGCAGTACTGGGAATCAGCGAAACCCATTGGACCCATGCTGGACAGAAAAGGCTAGCTACGGAAGGGATGCTGCTATACTCCAGTCATGAAGAGGAAAATGCTCCACACACTCAGGAAGTTGCTCTAATGCTGTCCAAAGTAACACGAAATGCACTTGTAGGATGGGAATCCCACGGATCCAGAATCATCAAAGCATCATTCAAAACAAAGAAGGAGGGGATCTTAATGAATATTATCCAATGTTATGCACCCACCAATGATAGCAGCGACGACATTAAAGATCAATTCTACGAGCGGCTGCATTCAATCATAGAGAAGACCCAAGAAAGGACCTCACCATTCTGATGGGAGATCTAAATGCTAAAGTCAGAATAGACAACACCGGATATGAGGATATCATGGGACGATATAGACTGGGACAGAGAAACGAAAATGGAGAAAGATTTGCAAATCTGTGTGCATTCAACAAATTGGTCATAGGAGGCACAATATTTCCACACAAACGTATACACAAAGCTGCATGGATCTCACCAGACCACACTACAGAGAACCAGATAGATCGTATCTGCATCAATAAAAAATTCTGAAGGACAATGGAAGATGTGAGAACCAGGAGAGGTGCTGACGTAGCTTCAGATCACCACCTAGTTGTAGCCAATTTGAAACTGAAGCTAAAAAGGAACTGGACAAGTGGACAAACAGCAATACAAAGGTTCAATACAGCCTTCCTTCGAGATACTGACAAACTCAATGAATTCACGATAGCTCTCAACAACAGGTTCCAAGTCTTACAGGATCTACTGAAGGAAGGAGAAACTACTATGGAGGACAACTGGAAAGGCATCAAGGAAGCACTAACTTCAACGTGTCAAGAGGTTCTGGGTCTAAAGAAGCAACACCATAAGGAATGGATCTCTCTGGAAACACTGGACAAGATCAAAGAAAGGAAGAACAAGAAGACAGCAATTAACAACAACCGAACACGAACAGAGAAAGTCCAAGCACAAGCTGAATACATAGAAGCAAACAAGCAAGTGAAGAAAAGCATTAGAGCCGACAAGAAGAAATACGTGAAAGAACTAGCAACGACGGCGGAAAAAGCTGCAAGGGAAGGAAATATGAAACAACTTTACGATGCAACGAAGAAACTAGCAGAGAAATACAGTAAACAAGAGAGACCGGTCAAGGACAAAGAAGGAAGGCCAATCACTGAAATTCAACAACAGCCGAACATATGGGTAGAGTACTTCGAGGAACTCCTGAATAGGCCAGCTCTAATGAATCCACCGAACATCGAAACAGCACACACAGATCTTCCTATAGATGTCAATCCACCAACGACGGAAGAAATTAGAATGGCCATCAGACAAATCAAGAGTGGGGAAGCAGCAGGACCCGACAATATACCAGCTGAAGCACTGAAGTCAGACATCGAAGTAACTACAAACATATTTCACCTAATAAAAAACATGTGGGAGGAAGAACAAGTGCCGATGGACTGGAAAGAAGGACACCTCATCAAGATTCCAAAGAAAGGAGATCTGAGCAAATGTGGAAACTACAGAGGCATCACACTACTGTCAGTATCAGGAAAAGTCTTTAACAGAGTTTTGCTGAACCGGATGAAAGATGCAGTAGACGCCCAACTTCGAGATCAATAAGCTGGATTCCGTAAGGATCGATCGTGCATAGACCAAATTACGACACTACGGATAATCGTCGAACAATCAGTTGAGTGGAACTCGTCACTGTACATCAACTTCATTGATTATGAAAAGGCATTTGACAGTGTAGATAGGAGGACGTTATGGAGAATTCTTCGACACTACGGAGTTCCTGAGAAGATTGTCAATATTATCCGGAACTCATACGACGGACTACAGTGCAAAATCGTGCATGGAGGACAGCTGACAGATGCATTCCAAGTAAGGACCGGAGTCAGATAAGGCTGTCTACTCTCTCCCTTCCTCTTTCTTCTGGTGGTCGACTGGATTATGAAGACCTCGACATCTGAGGGAAAACGCGGAATACAATGGACAGCTCAAAATCAATTAGACAATTTGGACTTCTCAGATGACCTGGCCCTCCTATCGCATACACACGAACAAATGCAGATAAAGACAGCCAGTGTAGCAGCAGTCTCTGCATCAGTAGGTCTCAGCATACACAAGGGAAAAACCAAGGTCCTCAAATTCAACACGGAGAACAGCAATCCAATCACACTTGATGGCGAAACTCTGGAAGATGTAGAATCCTTCACATATCTGGGAAGCAAGGAGGCTCAGATGCAGACGTAAAGGCGAGGATCGGTAAAGCAAGGGTCGAATTCCTACAATTGAAGAACATATGGAACTCAAAACAACTTTCAACCAATATCAAAGTGAGAATCTTCAATACGAACGTCAAGGCAGTTCTACTGTACGGAGCTGAAACTTGGAGAACTACAACAACCATCATCAAGAAGGTGCAAGTATTTATAAATAGCTGTCTACACAAGATACTCAACATCCATTGGCCGGACACCATCAGCAACAGCCTTTTTTGGGAGAGAACAAACCAGTCTCCAGCTGAAGAGGAAATTAGGAAAAGACGATGGAAATGGATAGGACGTACACTACGCAAATCGTCAAACTGCATCACGAGACAAGCCCTAACTTGGAATCCTGAAGGGAAGTGGAAAAGAGGAAGGCCAAAGAACACATTACGTCGGGAAATAAAAGCAGATATGGAAAGGATGAATAACAACTGGAAGGAGCTCGAAAGGATTGCCCAGGACAGGGTTGGATGGCGAATGCAGGTGAGCGGCCTATGTTCCTTCACGAGGAGTAACAGGCATAATTAAGTAAGTCACATATCGACTGTCTTCTATTATCACTCTGTGTATCCTTGTTTTTCAACTTACACAGCAGCTGGCCTATGGTGGAAACCCTGTTTTATCTAAACGATACTGAATCACTGACTAGTCGAAAGTTAAATACTACCACCGAATACGAATATTGAAACAGTCTTTCTGAAACCATGCATACCATTCAAACAGGCTTTCGTCAACTTTCGCATACTAATGCAGACCGGACGACAAATAGGGTTCGCTATGTCTTTAGAGAATCCTAATATCGACGTCTGTTGTCTATCTGAGATTCGTATTCAAGACTCTGGAGAAGCAGTACAAATACGTTCTCCAACTGTCGCTTCGAAAAGCTTATTTCACGTGTGTTTATCTGGAGACCCTATGACATCTTCGTCTGGTTTTGTTGGCGTTGTTGCCGCACGAAGCGCTAGAGCTGAGGCAGCACTGATCGATCAGCGAGTAAGCGTAATAAAATAATCGGGTTACTAAACTAGAACGAATTTTATGTAGTTCAAATCACTAGTTCAAAATAAGTCTACTTACTTGGGCGTATAACCATGTAGTCGAGCCGCAACCTGAATAAGACTTTCATTTTCATCTGTTATCTCGCATGACTGAATATTCACAATGGAACCGTCAGGAGATTCACTACTAGACATGGAATTAGTCCCATGACTCAAACACGCTTGGATATTGTGATACAAAATCTGATAACGTTTACTTGCATCGGGGAGTGATATTAACAAACGTCTATAAAATAGTTCCCTGCATTCATGAACACTAAAAACTTTGTCAATCGTAGTGGCTGTTGCTAGGATGCAAAATCGACATGTTGACTTTTGACTGTGAACCAAACTCTGGCTAACCGATTGGATTGATTCGATAAACCTTTCTAAAATGTTGGGAATCATTTTTGATTCAGCATCCGTATCAGCTGTAGAATGAGTATTAGTATCTATATTTTCATCGTTATCGATCCACTTGTCGATGTTAGGCCATAAAATAACTACAGGAATACAGTTTCTGTTACTGACATCTAATTGCCCAACCATGTTCGTCAGCCAGCGATAGCCATGATGATGAGATTTATTAGTTAACTCGGTGACCAATTTAGATGTAAGTGTAACGAATACTGGCTTTTCATACGAGGACTACAAGAAAAAAATGACAATATCATATAAATGATAGGAATATATATATATATATATATATATATATATATATATATATATATATATATATATATATATGACTTAATTGATATTAAGAAAATAGATTCAACGTGCAATAGAAAGGAAATTTACCCCATTTGTTGAAATTGAGTGGATTTGGTCATTGGCAATATCCTCAAGAAATGTACGTTTTCCACAGCCAGGGAGTCCATAAAGGATAATCCCAGGCGTTATATTGGAAGAAAAAACAGTTTCATTTCCATGAACACATGTTAATAGGAAGTTTCTGAGATAGCCAAGAATCATATCTCTAACCATGTCCAACCCAAACAAGTAACTATTCATGTAATTGCCTTTTGGTATCAACTTGGAAATCTTAGAGCCTCCAAACCCAAATGACAAATTAAGTGGAGCTTCAGCTTGGACCAAGATCAACTTGGTAGAAGAACCAATCTAAAATAATGACGAGATGAATAATATATATATATATATATATATATATATATATAGTAAAGTATACAGTGAAAAACTTAATGAGACAAAATAGGCTGCACTGACTTAAAGAATTAGTAAAGTTAGATTTGACTAGACGACTAATTTTTAACATTAAATAAAAATGACTTCTGATATCAAAAAAGCTGCAAATTCAGATGTAAGAAAAGTTGGGTATTGTAAAATGTAAACTGCATATTTATGAATGATGAACAGTATTAAATCAGATAATGTATACCAAAGTTAAAGAACTTGATAGAACGTATTCTTAAACGAAATACAGTCTTGCGACAAAACTATGATCCACAGTGTTTAATTACCAAAACGGTTCACGGAAAAGTCAAATTTTTCAGGGTTTCATAGGCTTTCCATCTAGTATTTTCTTTATCGACTGAATTCCGTTAAATAAATAGGCAAAACATGTGAACTAATACCTCAGAAAACGTAGAAGTACGAATTAGGGAACTAAACTTAACAAGATTATCAACAAAGGAGTTATTATTACCAACATGTAAGCTTAAAGTTTGCAGCAAAACTACTATTTATTCCACGGAAGTGGCTAGCTGAGAGAAAACTACCAAACCATTTTGTAACGAATATATATATATATATATATATATATATATATATATATATATAGCTTATCTAAGAATCGATACCTAAATTAAATGACCAGGTATAGTGAGAAACAAGACATTCTAATACAAGGACAGAAAGTAAACGTCTGCAACATGCGTCAAAAATTTAAAAATCTGCTGTTTAAAACTATTTATACAAAGTAATAGGCTGGATTACTCCAACAATGAAAAATATAGAGGAGGTGGAATAATCAATTCGTGCACAAAATTAATATGTCAACTCAAATATCGCCTTGAGACGAAACAAAGTACATTGTTTGTCCACACACCTAGAGTACCAACAATTAATTTTTGCTACATATATTACTACCTTCTGTATCAGCCTTGTGCTAAGCGACAATACAACCTAAAATCTGGGGCATGTATGTATCGGCTCAAGTTCCCATATCCCATTAACATAGAAAGGTGAAACTGTCAGAGGAAATCCTAGAGCAGTAGAAATAGTGACAATAATATTGGTCATAGGAAAGATTAGGCATCGAAGATACAACTCAGGAAAATATAAATTAGTGAAATAAAAAGTCGTAGGAAATTTAAAAACTTAGGAATCAAGGAACGAAAAAAATCCATGAACTTGTACCACTGCGAACAGTTTTGAGCCATGTCGTTCAAAGTTGGTAACCACTGGTTATGATAATTACATGGACCCCAACCAGGTCGGTTGTACCTATCTAAATAGCTCAGTTTAGTGGTCTTGGTTCGGCCCCTGTCAGCCTTCTCTCAGTCTGCTCCTACATCAACCATCATAGCGCATTGAGGTCGTTGGTATTTGGATGTACGTAATACATGTTCTGACCATCTTAGTTGACAATGATCTACTAACTTGTCAATCGATTTGCTACACTTACCTAGAACTATGCGTTTAAGCTCAAAATTGCTAACCTGACGGTCACAAAATACAAGACTAATGGTTCAAAAACGCATGAGATCGAATACTAGTAACCCATAAATATCCTCTATCCTTTGAAGGCCCTATTTTGCACCCGATAAGTAGAACGAAGACAATCGTTGCACCGTCAATTCGTCTTTTAGTTGATAGATGAACACATTGCCTAAGTTACAACATGACGGAAGTTGAGAAAAGTCAGACGAACTTTATGTATTTGCAACGATACCTTGCCAGATTCTAATTCATCAGGATTGATGAGACTTCTAAAGTAATTAAGACAATTAATGCAACCGACTACTTCAATTTATACCATTGGCCCAGGGATTGACAGCGAACAGGTCTTGAACCAGTATTTTGGATTTAGAAGGAGAGAAATGCATCCCAAATATGCTTGGATTGTTGCTTAAGGCAGTCCGGAGACAACACTGTTTAGTGTCTTCATCAAACAAGACTAAATCTGAGTATTTTAAGTCAACAGGTGAACCTCCTGGTCAAAGATAAATTTCCGATAAGTCAGAAGTATTATTTGCAAAAGAATGTTTAAGACGAAGTTATACAAAATTAGAGATTGTCGACAACTCTGACGAACACCGCTTGAAAAGATCGACCCCGACGACAGTTCGCCATAAGCTCCAAATTGATTAGTAGTTTTCGAGCAGAGAGTCCATACAGGGTTAATGCACTTCTTTGGTACATTTTTCAATGACAAACACTACCATAAAACCTAACGATCAGCAGAGTCGAACGCTGCCTTAAGATCGAGAAATGCAACTATGATTGGGAGTCCAGGTTTGAAGCCAGTCTGGTTTTTTCTTCAAGAGCACTAGTTGGGTGTTTGATGATTATTGAGGCTAATATTTCAGGTACTACATAAGCCAAACTGACTGAGCTATGGTTTTAACAACAGGTTCTAGTCCTGGAATGATCAGAGATCGAGGCCACATTCGGTTCTTATACTCAGGTTAATATCTTGGTCAATGAAATAGTTGAGACTAGGCAACATCCACCAAGACCTGCTGTTGCTCTCTTGCCCTAAACTAGCTATAGCCTTTTCTACTTCATTAAGGGTCAGGGAGTTTGTTGATATCCCATTCAGTTTGCTTGGCAAAACTAGGCAGTTGAGAAACAGTTGGAGAGCATTTTAACAGTTATTTGAAGTGTTCCACCCAGCATTCCAGATTTCTGGGTCGAGAGACGACCTTTATTCAGAAGCACATAAACCTTGTGAAGGCTCTTTACTTGAACACTACCAGTCGAGTCAGAGCTTATGGCGAACTGTCATCTGATTTTGCCACCTCAATTGGTGTTCGGCAAGACTCTTCATTATCTGCATTTTTGTTCAATTTCACCGTAAACCTACTGCTGGAAATAACGCTCCGATCGATTAAATTTTCAGAAATTGATCTCCTTCCAGGAGGTCCACTTATCAGCTTAGAATACAAAGATGATATAGTCCTGTTTGGTGAAGACACTGATAAAATGCAGAGTCTTGTGGTAGCACTGAGTAAACAATGCCAACATGTTTGGGATGCGTTCCTGCCCCTCTAAATGTAAGTTGTTGCTTCAGGACTGGCATGCGTCAACAGCCAAACTAAGAATAGGGAGTGAAGTAGTCGAACGCGTCGATAACTTCATTTATCTTGGAAGTTTGATCGGCCCTAATGGGTTGGTGTCTGACGAAATCTCTGCACGAATTTGAAAAGCTCGTTTGGCTTTTGCCAACTTACGTCACCTGTGGCGAAGGCGAGATATCCGTCTATCAATTACGGGACGAGTTTACTGTGCGGCAGTTCCTTCTGTTTTACTTTACGGTTGCGAAACGTGGTCATTAAGAGTAGGAGATACTCGTAAGCTACTAGTATTTGATGACTTGGAAATATAGCTCGCATCTCCTGGGATCACCGGGTAGGTAATAGTGAGGTTAGATGCACGCTATTAGGGAATGACAGTAAATCAGTCGATGAGGTTGTAAATCTTTATCGACAAAGATGGTTGGGCCACGTGTTACGTAGGCCTGGACACCGTTTACCACGACGCGCAATGCTGACTAGTGTTGGAGACGGCTGCAAGAAAGTTGGGGGCGATCAAACCAAAACGTGCCATCAGTCATTGAAGTCACTAACTTCTAGTCTGAGCCATGTTGGTAGATGCATACTACTTAGTTGGGGTTCGCGTGACTATCGTAATCAATGGTTGGACACTGGGTGGCATGGTTCAGAATCGATCACAATGGCATAGGTGTATACACTCTTTGTCTTACCTTAAATCGTGAGATCAAAATTACTTTATACTTTTCTTTCTAATTCTTTCTTCCTGTACTATATACTTATGCACAATCTTTATTTACACATTACTATCATTGAAGTGACTACTTTTATGAATTTGGTGTTCAACTTGTTGTACTAACGAGGTATGGCAACTTGGACCGATGCATACATGTGCCTGGTCCTACGTTGTAGCTGACTGACTGATTATTCAGGAATGGTCTCACCGACTCCCGACTCTTAATGTCTATTTCTTTGATAAGTCTAAAAGCGTCTTGTCTATCAAACCCATCTTTTCTATTCTCTTAGCTTTCGCCACTCGCTACTGATCACAACTATTGCACAGACTTTTAGTCAGTTTACGTTTAAGTAGCATTTGCTTCCCATCATCTTCTGAGTTTCATCATTAACGGCCGGTAGACACTAATCTCCGTCACCTAAAAATATTAATTAACCCAGGAAGATACAACCACTAATACAAGTTAATCAGCTGGTTGACGAACAACTACTATATATATTCCTAGTCACTACCAGCTTTTTAAAGTATAATCCTACTTTGGAAATAATCATACAAAGGGATAGACGGTTATACTATTTGCACCGAACATTTTAATTGGTGTCCGGGACTCTCTTGACTTACTTGCCTTTTTATTTCAGAAGAAAAACTGATATTCCTCATTCAATAACTCCAACATACACGACCCATGTTTCAAAGATAACCATAACTAAGTTAAATACAACGAATAAACTGTTTGCAAAATAAAAGTCTCTCTCGAATGCATTCTGCATCTAAAATTGTCGTATTCATATCGAAAGAGTCACAAATTAGTAGGATTAGAAATTCTTAAAATTGTAGGCAAAATAATGGATAAGATAGTAAATTTTATTTTATTTATTTTAACACATAGTTATTGGCACAAGGAGGCACTAAATACATATGCGCCACACAAATCTCATTCATTATGTGTGAGGGCTGTGATACTGGCCGGGTGCCCAAACCGAGGCAGGTGGTTTTCTTAGGGGCCATACCCGGAGCCTTCGACATGAAAGTCTGATCCACAAGACAGTGGGACACCGTAAGGAAGTGCAGTCCCAAGGTAACCGGTGACCAACGATTGGTTCATACGCCATTTGTTCCTTTAGGATACTGGAGCCCATTTGCACGATTGGTTTGGAATCAGGGTTTTCCAACTCCCCTAGGTGAACTCTCCATGTCCACCAACCCGGATAAAGCACCGGACATTCGCTTTCCGTCTTCTCAATGTCGTAAGCAACACCCCCGCCACGAGAAGGCAGTGGGTAGGACTTCCCTGGCAGAAGTTATATACGCGTGTTCATGTGACAGCATTTCGAGAGCGGACTCTTTCCTCTCGGCCGTACCAGGGCATTTGGGGGAACCATGTAGCAATACCACAGTTTTGGTCGTTTATCAGTATTTAAAAAAATATTATATTTCCAAAAACTGTTACGGACTCATATTATCGTCATAAATACGCCTTTAAATTTAATCAGTTTAAATTATTCTGAGTCACATCAAATACGAAATACTATACTCATTTTTAGGAAGGCAGGAATTGATGATAGTTACTGAAAATACCTTTACTCTGGTAACATTTGACATTAACATAGTTTCTTAAACAATTCATAATGGAAAATAATGACATGTTTTACAACTAATTTTCGGTGAAGTTGTACCATTTGCCAACCAGCAATCCAAGCTATATTTGTTAGAGAATGCACTAAAAGGTAGGTCACCCTGAATCCAAGTATACATTAGGCACTCCTATAATTGAACTATCCGTATAATCGAGTGTAACCGGACGTTAACAGTTGGCACAAAAGTTTTGTCTTCGGTCATCCTCCTTTGACTTTTACGATATGAGCATGAATTACGCAATTTATCACTATTTTCAATAGTACCAAGCCAAAACTTGGGTTTTACAATTTATCGTTATGAAACTCACTTTAAAAACAGATTGATCAGTGAGTGACTGAATAAGTTCACATGACCAAAGATTATCACTGTTGTTGAATGACTCAGAGGGAAAACTTAGGTCGCTGAGATGTGGATGAAAGTCATAATCCTCCTTTAGACTGTAAAATTAAGTAATTGAAAACAAGATAATTTTAGATGACTAAAAAGGTTTCAATAAATAATCCTAACTACAATTTAGAACAAAATAGATGCTGAAAACTGTCTAAATATGAAGTTTCTAAGAATGTGGATGAAGTGAAAAGTAGTTAATAGGCGGAATGCTATGAAGTCAAACAAGTGTCGAAAATGGATATTTACATCCAGAAAGCAGATTAAAATACGATAAGACATAAGTAATCTTTACAATTTCAAAAAGGCGTATCGATATGCATAAGACAACGTTGCAATTAACTAGAACAGCTTTGACAAGTTACTGTCTCAATCTCAAAAGATTCGGCAGTAGCGAAATACATAACACGGGAGCTAGCATAGAGATATGGAGCCCTACGCCACATGTTGATCTACAAGGTTGAATGTACCTGCATTACTATGGCTAGTTTTCAGACATACCAATTCGATCGTTTTGGTCATCTCTGTCAAAAAGAAGTAAGCACTAACAGCTGAAGATCAGATAGTAAAAACGCCACAGATCAGTTCCATGGTTTGGTTCAGCCAACTCAGTCAAGTTTTGACTCAATCAGAACAGAACGGTTAACTCCATACTAATGAGTGAGAACATGCTCATCACTCCAAATAAGACGGTTTGATGAATAAGCTCTTAAATGAACCTGCAAGGATATTATGATCACAGACTTCATCCAAAAAATCGATCTCAATGAAAAGACTAATAACTGAAATTAGTTATGGGGAGATAAAGGTGATTTTCACACTTGAACTGATATGTTTTATTACTGATTCACTTTTAGGGGCAACTTGTTAAACCAAGGAAATGAGTATTGCAGGAAGATGGTCGCATTCATAAAACCAAGTTCCTTGCGAGTTTTACGGGCTTAAATCAGGTCTAACAGATGGTTAACTGACTTTGTGTTGGAACTAAATATATGAGGAGGAAAAACATGTCAAACTGAGCTGCATAATAAAAACATCTTACATTGTTTGCCTGGTGTTTTGAATGGAGAACGCTTCTCCAGATACTGAAACGGCCTCGACGATTAGCAAACTGAAGTAATCTCCAAGCGCTCGAATAGTCTGCTTTGTTCCAACCATGGTGTGTGACATCTCTGGAAAGTTTAACAATCAGTGTCAGAACTTACGCAACCTGTAATGCAGACTACTTTCCAAAAGAGGCAAAAGAACCGGGTCCATCGGAGTCCTATTTCATTGTAAAATTAGAATAAATCAGGTTACATAATCTGTATTCTCAATGACTTGGCCGGAATCACTCGGGTTGGTAGTTGAACGGTCAATCTTCGAGGCAAGTCTGGACCGAACTTGGATAACATCTCATCAGAGATCTCAACATTGTCTGAGGACGAAATCCCGACGACAGCAGGAAATTTGCAGTTTACGACAACAACTTGAAATACACAAAGCTGGTTCTTACGGTAATATGAAAAAGGCAGTAATATGTCAGGCTTCATTTCGAACTGCATCAAAATACAAATTAGTGATGCAGGCCACTAATTTTTCTATGCCCACTTTTTCGGTATATGAATCAGTATTACGTGATGGCGAAATACATAGCACGTACATTAGGAAACGCAAATAGCGGAAAGGCATTACCACGTTCACCCCAAGGTTGTCATCAGGACTTCTAGGTCACTGTAGTTTGCAGAACATCTAATACTCAATATCTTTATTTTTAGATTGTATAGACAGACTGATGCCTCCGCCATCAAAAGTCCTAAGTAAGTAGTCCAGCCAATCAACTTCCCTAATCCCAATGAAATCTAGAGATTATTAGAAGGTTAATGTTTCCCCAGTTTACGAAGCGGCATGGTATTCAGTCTTCAGTAATAAGTATGGTATGTTGGTGGACCTCTGTTAACCTTTGCAGATTGTTTTTCAGTGAAGGTTCAGCTTCTCGTTGAAAATGCTCACTGTAGGGGCTGATATCAATTGTTTGAGTAGGGCGGAAAGATTTATTAACATCAAAATCGTAATTAAATAGTTGGTCACCTTGCGTACAACGATACAACAAGTGGAGAAGGTCTAGGTGTTTTAAGAGCTCATCGTGAGGGTTTAGAGAGACCCTCCACCAATTTTGTTCCCACACGCTGGACACGCTCAATTGAGTAAGTATCCTTATTAAGATATGGACCGGCTGCTTGGACATGTTACTATAGGTATGATCTTACGTAGCTGCCATATAAGACTCGAAACATCTCGTCAAAGCATTTGGATGCCTGATGAAGTGACTATAACGCTTAAAAACGTTAGGCGGCTGATGCGTTCTATTGAGTGATTGTATTTAAATTGTGACTAACCATTACCCCTTGGTCATTGTATTCCTGCATACATGGACGCAATCTACCGTTGACAGTATACTGGTAACCATTACCGTGTCCAATGTGAATTAGCACAGTATTTCTAGAATTAATTGCAAAACAACATTGGAATCATTAAACTTATTCTTCTAGATCAGCTTGAAGATCAAAATGATAGGCTTCACTTTTTACTGTTCTCCAGATTTTGACATCATATCCAAACAATATTGTCGACGACTTTAGCAGTTGTGGTAATTCGTTGATTGACGTGAAGAAGAAAGTAAGGGTGCCTAAGACAGTGCCTTGTGTTACACCACTTTCGACTGCCATCTATTCAGATAATATCCTACTTATCCTCACTCTCTGCCTTTGGCAAAGAAGGACGTTTCTCAACAATTCTTACACGGTACCTGCCTCTGAAATAATACCTAAGTGAGGAACATCATCAAATCTTTTGCTGAAACCTATGAATATCACACTAAGAGATTATCCATTATACAGGGCTGTTGTCCAATCCTCATTCGTAATAAGTAAGTTGGTTGAGCTTGAACGTCTGTACTGAAACCCGCGTTCCTCGATAGATCGCAAATTATATGATTCCATGTGACTTAGTAACATATAACGAATTTTTTAAAAGTAACTTCAGTACTATGATAGTCAGACAGTCACTTCAGTAGTCAGACACGAACTCTTTCTATACTTGAATATAGGAATGACTATAGCATCTCAATCTCTAGGGAGTCGAGTGTGGTGAAGGTACATGTTGAGCAGCATCGTGAGTGGTAAAGTAATAATGTCTGCGACAAATGACATCAATCGTGAACGTAACCCATCAAAAATGTCTGTCGACCAATGATCTCACGCTTACGTAGCAATATTTCTGTTTATTGAACAATGTTGTAGAAAAGTTGTCCTAGTCTTGGTCGGTCGCTTAGGTCATCGCACCTAAGAATAGCCTCTTTTAAAGTTCCGTAAGGTTACGAGTTATCACTAGTGAACATACTAGGCGTGACGTACCTGTTGTTGCCGCTCGATAGTGCTTTCTCAACCCTGAGGAATTGTGCAGATGTGTCTGTCACACCGTGTTTGCGGAATTCGGCCTCTGCGTGGCAGGACCAGGCTCCTACATTGTCGGGCCACAGTTAGAGAGCGGGTGGCGAGTCTTGATCTTAAGTCGCTCAGGCGTATATTCCGTCCTGATTAAGATAAAATGTGAGAGAAAATATCCGAAAATATGAAAAAATACCACGATACGTGAAAATATGAATTAAAAAATGACATGTAGTATTCCAACGAGGAGCGAACTGATTGGTGTGCCGGATCACTTCGGTATTTAAAAGTTTGATAACGCCTCTAGAAGTAACACCTTTGTAATTGAAGTACGCTAACTCCAGTCAGATTGGAAGTGAGAAAGGAAGTGGTTCGAAGATATATTTGGAAGGTTATCGACATGTCGAGTCGTGTTTAATCTAAGCTGGCTGACAGTTAAAAGGGAATAGTAGCACGGCGTACTCACTGGTGATTCGGTACTGCTGCACAACTGAGCGCCTTCGTCTGGGTTTGTCCAGTGAAGCTATTGAGGTCAACATCTACGTTGAAGACTTACAGTAGTATATATTTTAGGGATTTATCTGTCGCAACAATCGCTGGTTTTAATTGAAAATAAATCAGTTCGCATTGATAATGCCCCAATTATTTACAAAATCACAATTTAAGTTCAAAATTTATGGTAAATGTACCTTGTAGGAGTCAGTTTAAGTGAATAACATAACTTCACTAAGAAATACTGCGAAATTAAGATGTTGAGTCATGGCTTATATGATGATAAAAATAATAAAATAATGTGAACCAAGAAAGATAGATTTTGATGCATAATAATATGAATTCATTTTATTTTGTTACGTTCTTATTAGCTCTTCACAACTTATAGGTATGTCAATATATATGATAACGTTGACTTCAGAATGTAAATGTGTAATATCAACATGTAATGGGAGAAGTAGTGCAGAAGTTTACAGGAAACGAAACTTATGTGACAACATGTGACGAGGTAGTTTCCTATAAATTTAAACTAATGGCCGAAAAACTACACAGTGAGATACATATTACCATTTTTATGTAGTTTTTAACTTTACTGATGACCTACTTTTTTAGCGTTTGAGACATTACGTGAAATTCATTGTTTTTATTTTATTGTTTATGCCATTTGTTTCAACTTAATTGTAATTAAGATTAATAATAAGACAATAATATTGGACTGAGACACATTGGTATGGGCTAAAGCTATTGAAATTCGAGATCAGTAGAACAGCTCGTATAACTTTTACCATTACAAATTGGAATAAACAGTAACGAAGCGTTCAGTATGTACAGTAACTGAAAGTCACTTGCTATACTAGTTTAACTATAATTTTTGCGTGTAGAACTTAAAGTGATCACTGTTTTCAGATGATTTTTACGAACTCATGACTGCAACGTTTGATCGTAATGTCTTACAAATATGCTACTTTTACACCCTTGCTTATTAACTCGCACAAATGGTAGTCATCTACCCCCCATATATCCTCCGGCACAACAGCCATTCCAACGACAGTTTACTTTTATTTCTAAAGCTTAGGAAGTGCAAAGGCGTCGAATATTTAGGTTGGCTATTAAGGGGATTAAAAAAGAAAGTCTCACATGTGGCCTGCTGAGCAATAGCCAAGAAGTTTCACTGTTTTTTTCAGCTAGTCACTCCTATCACTGCTAACTAAACAAAAAACGGACGGAAAAATCTCCTAAAATATTCATTTTGCTGAGTTATTTGCCGCCGTCTAACCATATACCGGGAATCAGCTTTATATATAAGATTCCCAATACGGAGACCTGTCGAACTAGCGAGTCAGAGATTTGTGGCGCTAATAGTGTAGGTATGACTGACAGGCACTTGGAGCGGAAAGGAAAGTGGTGGAACTGGATAACACTGGCTCCGAACACAGAACATGTTATTTTGTGAAAATCTTCAAGACTTTGGAAAATTAACCGTTCTTTAAAAAACATCATTATATCTCAACTGATTTAAAATAAAAGTTGAAACGAGATTGGTTATTTTCATTGTGATATTGCTAATGGCGAAGTCTACTTTGATTAACTTTGTTTTATGTCATCAACAACAGATTCAAATTGTCGCTTTCAGTAATCTCAAGGCTACCTCCTCATTCGCAGATGGACTGTGGTAACGGCTTCATGATAAATTTGGAACATTCTTCAGAAAATCCTCTTGTTTGTTCAGTGTGCTCAGGTCGTGAAGTGTTTGGTATATTACCTGCTTGTCTGCATGTAGTATGTGTAACATGTGCAGAATATATGCGTAAGGATGATGTATACCGTTGCATTTTATGCAAAGAAACAAGCCAAAAGGTAAATTTGATTATCCTCAATATATTTCCACAAGATTATCAGTAATCCTAACATTTGTAATTCCGAAAACACCAATAAGTCACCCACATGCAATTGGTGCCATGACAATGGAGAACAGACGAAATCAATCGGACATTGCGAAGATTGTGACATATGGTTATGTGGAGAATGCCTAAAGGGTCATAACAGAATGCCTCCATTACGTAACCATAACATTACACTGCTTTCAAAAAGCGAACATCTAGGTTGGTCATATGTAATGTTTCTGAACTTTGTTCAATTATTTATCAACAACGTCTACGATACTTGTAATTATGTTTGTCAACCCAAGTTTTAATTTTTTATAGTTATGTCATTACTAGCAAGTCGATTTTTCGTGTATCACGCCACATTTCTACAGTCTAAAGATAATGAATAAATCAATGTCGTTGGTTCATCGAATTGGACTAAGAATTCAATATGTTCACCTTCATTCTTCAGCAATAAGCTAGGAGTTCCATCGAGCTATATTAATCATTGCAATTCATAACACTGGAGGTCCAATTTCGTTTTAAATTTGCCAACAAACTGTGCTGATATCACGTGTTCTGATGGAGGATCTCAGTTATTCACTTCTCGGTGCGAGAAACGGAATCCCAGACGTAAACGATTTGATCTCGGCTTTTGACTTTTCTTAGAATATCCTCTCAGATTATCAGTCCTAAATGAAAGGAAGAGATCAGACATTAAAACCAAGGTCACCCTCCGGTATACGATAAGCCAATCTTAGATCACCGTAATCTGCGGTGAGACGTCGAAAATAGGTTGTGTCTCAATCTGCCTTCACAGGATAGGTCGGAGAAACATTTTAACATGTCAGTCCCTCATCGGCAGAGTCAGTCAGTCAGCAGCAACGTAGAACTTTGAATGTAAATACATCAGTTCGAGTTGCCATACCACAATAGCACAGATATATTTGTCGATTCAAATCCCATAGTGGTATAGGTAGTAAAGGTATAAGCAGTAATCGGAAGCATTAGGGTTTGAATATGTTATTCAAGGAGTATAATCCAGTGGAATAAATATTGAAAGAAGAAAAACAGGTACATGAGGAAGATTAGAATTAGGGAGAACCCAAATAGTTGATGCACCTGCGCCATCGCAAACGATTTTGAGCCATGTCATTCAAGGTCTATGACCATTGGTTGCTATCGTCTCTCGGATCCCGATCAAGTAGTCTACACCTACCAACATGGCTCAGTCCAGTTGTCAGTGACTTCATAGATTGGTGCAGTGTTTTGGTCTGGCCGTCTACTTCCTTCCAACCTCCTCCTACATCATAAAACATCGCTCGTTGGGGAAATTAACGGTTGTGTATACGTAACACATGTCCCAGCCATCTCAGCTGATGAAGTTTCAATACTTCTTCAATTGATTTGCCATCCTTACTACTACCCGTTTCCTAACAACTGCATTACTTACTCGGTTGTCCCAGGATATACGAGCAATGCTTCGGAGACACCTACGGTCGAATACTAGTAACCTACGAATATCCTCCACTCTCACCGGTCATGTGTTTTCACAGCCATAAAGTAGGACGGAACGAATTGCTGCCCAGTAAACCTTCATTTGGTTGGTAGATGGATATCTCGCCTATGCCATAAATGACGCAAGTTGGCGAAAGCTATTCAAGCCTTTTGTATCCGTGCTGAGATTTCGTCACATACCAGACCACAAGGGCTGATGAGGCTCCCAAGATAAGTGAAGCGGTCGACACACTCAACTACTTCACTCCTTATCATGGGCGGAAAGTAGAGCGGATGACTGCTACAGTTAGCAATCCATCTACATAAAGTAAATACAATAGTAACAAGGATCGTACCTTAGGGAACTTCACGTTTTACAGATTCCCACGCTGAGGGAGCTCCATTTACCCTTGCCTACTCTTTCGTATCATTTGAAAAGTCACTTGCCCAGTCTATGACTTCATAAAAGATTCCAAAACTTTCCAGTTGTGATTTAAGAACCAGATGAGTGATCATGTCAAAAGCTTTACTTAGATTTATGAAAATCACATCTACAGGAATATTTCTATCTTTCGCTGCGGCCCAATCTATTTTTGCAATGAGCAAATTTGTCAAACGTGATGGTCCTCTCCTAAAACCATGTTGTTTACTGGAAAAAGGATTTTTCCCTTCCACATAATTTAAACTAGCCATCCGAATAATCTTTTCCATTAGTTCGACAACTGCACTGGTTAGACCAACGGGTTGATAGTTATCAACTAAGTCTCTGCTCCCTGCCTTATACACCGAACTGATTATTGTGTTTTTCCAGTCTTTTGGCAGTCTAGACTGTTACAAAGACATATCAAACAGCATGGCCATAGGTTCAGCCATTACATCCGCCAGGTCTTTCATAAGCCTATGATAATTATCGTCCGGACCACTGGGCTTATCTGGTATAAGATGTTGAATTAATCTCAAGATAGTTACTTCCTCAATAACTACAGGACCCATTGACAAGCCGCCCTGACTACGATTAATTATTGGTCGTTCTTCATTGCCGGTAGAAAACACTACTAAAATATTCCGACAAAGCTTCAGCTTTTTGTCATCTCTCATCACAGATTTTCTTGTACCAGAAGTGGTGGGATTCCATCACTCCTCTTAGTTTGCCTCTTTAAATACAAGAATAACCTTTTCAAACTTTTCCCACAATCCCTAACCAACTATTTTTTATATGACTATCTAGTCTTACCTAAAAGCAATCCAAGTCATGTAGTTCATATAAATCAGGGGTGTAAACGCAACCAATTGTAGAAAATCAAGTAGTAGAGGGTCCAACTTTGATGCGTTTGGCGACTTTTTTGTGATTCCTGAGACTCGAATTGGTAAACTCGAGAAGGGGATATATCTCATTTCAGCGATTCTCTAGACACTGATTAACAGTTAGGAGTCTACACTCATAGTTTAACTGCAATTCATCTTATCATAGCCTGGCTAATGTTCGATTATTTCCTTAAAAAATTTTCACTTTATGTAATTGTTTTGAAGGCACCTGTTATTGAAATGAATTAAAATACTTGATTGTTTGAAAATTTTTCTCCATTTTAAGGCTCACTACGATGTGAAGCACACCCGAACGAAGCACTAGAATGCTTCTGTGAGGCTTGTGGAGTATTAACTTGTCGTGACTGTCAGCTATCAGTTCACAGAGATCATGGAAGCCATCGGTGGGTTGGAGAAAAAGCTGTCCAACTGAAGGCTCCTTTAGAAGAGGGCATTCAAAACCTCAAAGAATCAGGAAAAAAACTATCTTCTGCCTTACTTTGTGCTACTAGCGCTCGCACTTGCATGGAGGACAGCTTCATATTCAGTGTGGAAAAAGCTCGTCAAGATATCAAGTCACGGACGTCTTCCCTCATTGATTGCATTCAAAATCGTTCTGAATGCCTCTTGAATGAACTTGACAAAAAGGCAGATACATATATTGGTCGACTGCAGGAGACGGAGAATTTGATACGTAAGCTCCAGGTATGTGTAGCTAACTAGCTTACTCTAATTTAACCGTTTTGCTTACCTGCGACACTACCTATGTAGTCCACGAAAATGTAAGTTTCTTATTTCATTCAAGATACGTACCTACAAAAAGAGACATATCTATCTCGCGTGGCCACCTAATTACCTACTTACATGTAGATAGTGGCGGAATCGCGGAAAGTTCATTGTTTCAATCCATATAAAAAGACCCAGCTAAGCTGACTATTGAATCTATTATTGACTAAAGATCCATAAGCTTTATAAATAGTAGTTGCAGAGATTCCGTAAAAAAATCAGGAACGTTGTGAAGTTCTCTTTTGATTTCCATAAATGTTTCTTCGTGGACTTTTTTAGTCAGATTTATATATCGCACATAAAATGTTAAATATGAAAATACATGTGATTAATCTTTTTGTCACTATAAAGGAACAGATAAATTTTGCGTCGGCATTTTCCAGTCATCTCATTCAAAATGTAGACAATGATCCTGCTAGCTTAGTGCAATTGTATGAAACTGTCAAACTTCGACTTGATTTGCTTCAAATACTGTCTGAACAAGTTTTGAGTGATTCTCCGTCCGTAATTGATTCATTGGATCAAAAACTGAAAGATCGAGTTAAAGAGTCCAGTTTATGGTCTGAAAGTGTTATTGGCTGGCATACTATGGTCAATACACGAGCATTGTTTCTTGGCACCTGGGATGCTGAGGAATTATGCCGATATTCTGGAACGATAGCATGGTTACCCAAACAAGCTAAAAATACCTTTTCTCTCAAGGACAATAATCAAACATTTAGCAGTCAGGTAGTTGTAAAGACAGAAAATGTAAGTTTCAGGAGAATTTGAATTTTTGTTTATCAATAAATAATTACTGCTCATGATAAGTGTCCTTGAATTTTTAGACAAATATATTTGTTTCCCCTAATGTGTATAAACATCAAATTAACGTTTTTGATAGTTTAAGTACTTGTTAATTTATAGAAGTATTGCGTTTTGTGAATACTGTTGGTAAATTTCCGGACAAAAGTTAATGCTCCCCGTTTGCTGAGTTGTTCTTGAGCGAACTGGGGACTAAGTAATCTTTTAAAAAAACGTCTAACTCCTTGTGAGTTTTGCCCTGGCTTTTGTATGAGGTAAAGCGAAACCGTTTTGTAATGTGTATAATTCAGTAATGGTTATTAGTTCGGAGGAGATATATGAATGGGTTATTTTCATATCGTTGATTCGACACTTTTGTGATTGAAAATTTTGAATTGGTCAGGTTACGCGTAAATATTTGATTAAAAGTTATTACGGGAAGGCATTAAATGTTTCTTATGCATCCAGTTTACGTTGATATTTAACGTATGGATTAGTGTTCAGTGTGATTATAACGTATTAGTAGAACAAATGATGAAACCAAACTTTTCATATTCTAAAGTAAATAATCTCTTATTTTATAGTGATGGGAATGGTGTATACTCAAAACAAAACATTAAGTCAATGTTACTCGTAAATTAAAGTAAAGCTGACTACATCAGTTGCGACGAATGTTTCTAGGCTGCATTGGAATTCTGGTTTGTTAGCGTCCTTATAGTTTGCCTAACGAGCCAAGCTGTATGATAAGTTTACAAATGTGTTTGTACAGTTTGTATTTTTATATTTTACATTTAACTCAGATGAATTTACTCCCAAGTTAAAATATTTTGTTGTTCCAGGGATTATCGAAAAATAATGACTTTGCAAGTAATCAACTGTCTGCTGATACGAATGATTTTCTGGATTCTCTAGCAGAATTGGATGGTGATAAATGGACATGTGGAGAAGCTAATGGTGAATCTAATTCTTCTCCAGTAGGATGTGCTATCTGTTTTGGAGTTGGACTACTCGCACACTGTGGGCGTTGTAACCGGGCATATCACTTGGATTGTCATTTGCCTCGGATAAACAGTATTTCATTAACACCTAGTTGGGTTTGTGGTCTATGCGCCGACGATGAGGTTGATTCAGCTGTTCATGTTGAGCAGGCAGTAAATGGAAGGTTTTCTCGCAGTGATTATCTAGTAAGTGTGGCGCATATATATCTGGTGCCCCCTCGTACCAATATTTGTGTTCAAATAAATAAATAGTAAGTCGGAGATATGCGGAAGAGCTTTGTTTTCACCTTTCATTAAATCGAAGAAAAAGATATTCGTCCAACGGATACTTTGCGAGAGCACAATTGTTTTAACAATATTTAATATAAATGCTCAAATTCCTTTCATTCCTTTTAAGCTTTATTTATGATATGCACATATTATATGCTCTAATTAGAATTTAATAGTTCCATATAATAAGCCATAAAGGAAAAACACTTTCGTAGCCTAGCTTTTCTCAAAAGGCCAGTTGTCACTAATAATGAATGTTTTCGTCAGTGACGAGACATCGTTTATAGTAGTAAACATAACATATAGGTTTATCAGTCAGTTAACTATAAATAACGTAAAAAATGCTTCAGTTCAAGTTTTTACAACGTATAAACACAGTGAGATAAAATTACCAATATGAACACCAAAATAGGATAAGTATTGGTAGTATCGGTGGAAGGAAAGAATAATCTTATACAATGTGATTCGAGAAGGAATGAATTCGTGAGATAAAATGCACAGAGTGATTTCAAACTCAGGGTCTAAGAGGAAAAAAAAGAGTGAGTACGTCTGCACCACTGACCGATTCTAGGCCATATCACCGAACGTTTCAAACCACCAGTTACGATAACCTCACAGACCCCAACCACATATTTTGATCAGCCTAGCTTTCAGTGACTTCATGGAATAATATAACATCTTGATATGGTCATTCCTAGCTGCCTTCCAACATATTCCTGTACTAGTAAAAATCGAAAGTAATTGTAAAAGGTAGTTGGGCATACATGGTATATGTTCCAACCATCCCAGTCAATGACAGTTCACAATCTCACTAACCGATTTGCTATTTTTATTGTGAGTCTAACTTCAGTATTGCTCACTAAGTGGTCCAAACATACACGAGAAGTGCTTCAAAGTCATCTGTGTTTAAGTACTGCTAATATCAACTTCTTTTAAGGACCATGTTTCATAGGCAAGTTCCTATCACGAATATAACCTGAACCGTTTCGTTCACCAGTTACTAACATTACATTCGAAGGTTAATGGATCTGTACGAAGTTATTATCTTACATTTGATGAATGAGTTTCTTGTCTACCCTGGCTTCATACTTAATAGTAGTTTACCAAAAAACCATTAGATAAATCCGTCCCAAGATGTTTACAGTCTATCACTCATTGATAAGAGCTAATGATAAGACATCTATACATTCAACAATTTGAGTCGGCAGTTAGAATCAGTTGAATACCACTGCAAATGTTTGTAAATCAAGGCAATTTTGTATTGTTTTTAATCATAGTATTTCATTTCTTAAATGTTCGTGTTTCTCATTTGAAAATCACTTTGATTGTTGATGTTGCTTAATCAACATTTGGTCAGATTAGTATTTTTGGAAATTATCGTTTCACTTTATAGGCAGGGTGTCGAATTTTAATGGGTTTGCTAGTTCACGAAGAAGCTGTTCATTTTACTGCATCGGTTTGTCCAGCATGTTCGGTTCCCCTTCTATCTACTAGTCAATCCATGCCTCATTGTCCTGAAGGTCATCTTTATCATCGTCTTGCAGAACTTCGGTTATACTTAGAAGAAGCAGCTTCCACTCCAAATGGTCGTTCAGATACATATTCCAATCCTTATTCAGACAGTAATCAATGTCATTTCACTTGCCTCAGTGATTGGCTCATAGAGGTAGATAAATTTTGGTCAGACGCTGCTAAAGAAACTAATGTAAGTACCATTATAAAATAATAGAAAACATTAATAATAGTTTGACAGAAATAATGCTAATTTTCAATGCGTAAGGGTTTTTGAAGAATTCCATTAGCATTACGATTTGTTGCAGGTTTTTCAAAATTGTGTAAATCTCTCCAAGGAATGTCAAGGTTATTGAAATGCTTGTTCGTAATTTTAAGTCATCACATGACGTATTATTATTGAATTGAAGTGTTAGTATATGTGCACAAGGTAACTAATGCTAAGGCTGTTAAAGTAACAGTTTTCAGATGGACAATCCCGTTTCCCGTCAATTTCTTAACCCTGATCGATGATTAATAAAAAGGCAAATTAGTACAGGGAAACTGAGAAAACTGTACTTCTGAATAGATAGAGGTAAGTTTGAACACTTGCATTTATTCCACATCTCTTATATCTTGAGATAAGTGTCATTCCATGATTTACATTATTCAGTCTCGTTAGTTCTTTCTGATCTGTAATTCTTATATTTAGCTTTCTATTAGAGTGGATGTTTCCTCACCTCCCATATTTCTTATCTTATTAATTTCCTCTCTCGGTTTACTTCTATGAGGTGCCATAAATCAAACCAATACACATTCATATGAGACTATACTTGTCAGTCAGTCAGCTGCTGGGTTTCCCCCCTGGGCCGGTCCGCCCCTCCTTAGACGACCTGGACAACCCATCCTCCGACAGGTCATCCATATCGGCGCCGTGCTTAACGTGGACGCCCGATCAACATGAGCACCCATATGCCAGAACTCCCGGTCCCACGAAATCCCGCACTGACTGACTGAGTCAGTCAGCTACAACGTAGGACCAGGCACATATGTGCATCGGTCCAGGTTGCCATACCGCATCAGCACAACAAGATGAACACCAGATTCATAGCAGTGGTTAGGTCAAAGGTGGTGCTATACTTGAACTCTGACTGACTAGCTTAGAGGTTTCATTCGTAAATGAGGCCCAGTTAAGCTTGCATAATATATGGCACCAAACCTTGTAAGTCCAAGAGTTTTGTATGAACTGTGACAAATTCTTGGGCATTGTTCAATTATTTCCTTGGGACAAGTATCACAAAGTTGAAGAATATTGGCTAACATGAGTAAACTATATTCATTTATGCGGTCGATCACCATTTTTATTTAGATCGCTTCATCAAAAATAGGTTTGATTTTATTTTTTTCATCGATTCAGGTGATTATGCTTTTGTTTGTTTTAGATTCGTGGCTCCACTAAGGGGTGTCTACAAGCAGCACGTCGGCTTCGATCTCGTCTAAACTCACTTGTTCGTGAACATCGACCGGACTGTGAAGCTATTTTATCGGGCAAAACAATAGCTAATGATTTGATCAGTGAACCACTTAGTAATAATCCATCTGTTGTAGATAACTATGTACCAGAGTCGTATGTATTGAATACATCTCCCGTTCCTGTGAAAAACGAAGTTGATGAATAATAGTTCAGGAAAAGCATCAGCACTTGTATAACCCGGTTAACTAAGCAAGCAAGCAGTTCAATATACACTCCCTAGCATATGTACACTATATATATTTCATATTGTATTATCCCATTTTTGTATATGTACAAGTATGATTGTTTTTGCATATTCCTTACTTTGTTAAGCAAGTTATCTATAAGCTATTCTTTTATTGTACACTATACTTGATATTGTATTTTAGTGTTACGTAATCTTTTTGTTACTTGACAATAACACTTTATCTCTTCATTTCCCAAAATGTATGGAAGCATTTATGTATTTATATATCTGTTGTTTCGTTGAATGCTCTATTCTGAATGATAGTTTTTAAGGAGGATACATAATCAAGTGTGTAAATCGTCACCTGTTCCTCTTCTACTCTAAGGTATCCATAATCTGTTTTGCATATAAATATCTTAGTTGAGGACTTCTCATAATATTTTCAAGTCAGAGTCTGTGTAAAGCTATAATTAAAACAAATACAAATCAACCTTAAACAATTTATGTTTTAAACATTAGCGGTGACCCAACGTAATAAAATAGGAGTACATTGGTAGTAATAAACAGATTAAAATATTTATGGACTCGCATTTTTTATACGAAGTAGTTGTATCAAGATAGACCACACCAATGTTGGGCTGATTATAAATTTCAGTAGTTTAGAGTGAATCGGAATTGATTACTTGTCTAGTTATTAACATCACTAACAAGACACCTCAGCCGTTAACACCATAATTACTTTTAAGATGATTCATTTAAAAATGATACATTCTGAGATGTAAGTTGTGTTAGCTAGTGATCCGTTACAACAGTTTAGGTCTAAAAACTTTATTCAGTGCAGTAATTATAATCATGATCGAATTTGTGATTTTATTGTCGGGAGTTTTATAAGTAGTCGCATAATCGTTATTTCTACTTTATTGGTTTTTGTTAAAAATTTTATTGAATATAGGGTTATATATAACCTAATATCGTTGATACAGAAGCAGTAACCCGTTGGTAATTAACTGGTTTTTAGTAATTTTGCTGAAAAGCTCAAATTCTTGTTTAAGGTTTTGACTAACTGACATTACTCATAGAGTATATCAGGCTCTTTCGAAAGGCAGCATCATGTGTAATATTCATTGAAATTTTTGACCTAAGCCAAGTGGGACAATATCATTATTTTAACAGTAAGGGTGTCTGACTTTGCTTGACTGGTCGGTTTAGTGTCAGATTTTGCATGACAAAACCTGTTGTTATAAATATACCTTCATATTTTGCTTGTACGTTGGGTTCTGTATTGGACTTTTGTTGTTCTTTTTATTCATTCCTAAGTAATAAACCAAATGAGCTCGACTCACCGACCACGTACAGGCCGTACGCATAATTCAACAATTAACCAGGTTGCTGAAATAAACTGGATTTTAACAACACCCAGTCTGTTCACTTCATATTTAATGTCCCTGTCTAGGGTTTACTTTATAACAGCACTTGACGTTGAATGTATTTATTTTCCAGCAATGGAAACATTCAGATCACCTAGGGAAGCATCCACAGATATTAAATAAATTCTCAGTGTTTAACTGGTTTAACTATTTTGACTGTTGTAAATTATAATAGACAAGTAAGTTACCGATAGACCACTTTGTATCGTCGTTTGCTAAGTAATTCGTGATTACCATTATGGGAAAATGGTTCTAGACTAAGAGACCAAAATCAAATTTCACAAATAGATAAACAATAATTATTAACTATGTTTATTATTCTTACTCCGAGGTAGGCCTATTTTCTTTGGTTGAGCCAATCGCAAATTCATAATAACCATTTGGTTGTTAAACGAGACAGTGCCATACCTTATTTTAAGCAAAACATTCGCGTGAATTATTGGAAAAATTTACTGTCTTCAGGACTAAACACTAACTAATTCGAGTCCAACTACAATATTTTGATAATGATTATGTAACTATCAAAACTGCGGTACAAACCATCATGAATCATTGAGTTGGAATCTATTGCTCACTGTTTGAAACTTCATTCGATTTTTGATGTAGTTCAGGCATCGGCCAATAATACCGATGGTTAATAGTTTTACAATGACTGATGAGAAGTAGTTATTCTGTAGCGAAATTAATACACTAGTGGTGTATATTGATTTGTATGGATTTCGAAGATTTCTGTTAAGAATTTATCGCTGCTATATATATATATATATATATATATATATATATATATATATATATATATATATATATATATATATTACATTGCTTTTAGACTGGATATTTCTTTATAAATGATAAAGTAATATTTATCAGGGAATTCTCAAGTGAAGATTTTTCTGTTGATTTTTGGAATATACTTTCAACTAATAAGGGACCTATATTTCATCCATAAGCATCATCCATCGATTATTCAGCTGGGGTCACTTAAGGCCAACCGGTTTTCGATAGTTTATTTTAATATGAATATTTACACATCTGTGTTATTCACTACATCAACTCATTCGATAAAGTAGCTTGTCTTACATACACAAGTTAATGCACCCGGCTTTGAGCTACACTATTTGTGTATGAATGACCAATGAGTTTTAAACTTGAAGTCATATGTAAACCAGCTGAGTAATATAAAAATAAGGAAAATGTTATTTAAATTACTGTCATATTAGTTGATAGCTATAAAGTTATATAGCTTCTCTGATCAGCTGATCTTACTAATGATACAAGTTATTTAGCTTTGAAATTGATCATACGTTAATTGGGAATGTCAATCTTGATGATGTATATCTGGGTATGTATGCAACTTGAAAAAGATGCATACAAAATTTACGTATTTTGTCTGATTAGGTTAACTCTGTTTCTTTTTTTTAAGGATTCATTGTATATGACATTCAAACTAGGCAAACTAGGTATTTATATTTATTAATCTGAATTGGATACCAACTAACTGAACTATAAAAAGGCTAATTAACTTGAAAGTGCAAGAAATATGATTGTGCTGTTATAATTCTGCCACCTATCTTCGTTTAGTGTTTTGTAGATTGTCTTTTTTATCATTGGCAATGATAAGTTGCGTGGCTGATTCCTAATAGTATGGTACTTTCATAAGGTTGTCCTTCGATACAGAACAGTGATAAGCTGTTCTAAAATTTCATGTACCGTTTAATCATAACTGTTCCCACCCACTGAAACAGATTGAGCCAAAGGTGAGTTTCGTTGCTACACAGAAAGATTAAGCTGTTACTAAGTACTATGTCTCTGAGACTCTATACAAGAACTCAGTGTGATATAATGGATAATAATATGTTTATCTCTGAAGATTCTCTGTTTGCAGTCAAATCGGATAGCCGGCTTTATTCATTGGGAATCTACAATCTCGTACCACTAACATATGTTATTTCTCTGAAAGTCGGAGTGAAGATCCGATTATGGACATTCACTTGACCACAGCTAATTAACAAAGAGAACCGGTGCGATTTAACCTCCATTCATCCGGCGACTTGCTGCTACTTCTCATAGCCTCGATAGCGTTGGTGTAGCACTAGGTTAAAGAGTAGAACAGACTCTCCTAATTTGCATTGTGGTATACAGTGTCTTGTGTTCTCCTCTACCAAAGGAAAAATTAAGTGTTATATCCGGATGAATAATAAGTGAGTGGTAACTGATAGGAATTATTTATGAAATATTACATGTATTCTTATTGGATAACTATTAAGTAGGTATATTATATGTTTATTCATATTCCTTTTATTATAAGCTTCCATTCAATTTATTGACTACTATTATACGATTTACTGTTCTTAAGTTATTCCCAGTTACTTCCTTCATACTTACAGCCACTTTGGCATGGCCTTGCATAATTGTTATTTTCTATTTCATGGTATGATGCAGTCCGAATTGCATGTATATAAACTGCGTATGTCTGAAATATATGATTCGTACCGTGGGAGCTGAGAATGTGTTCTGGACTCAAACGGGCAGGGCTAGGAGAGAAGAAATAATAGGGACTCTAGGTTTCTCGTACTGGTTAACGCGTCATTGGTTTGGCACAATGCCAAGGTCATATAAGTCGGTGTTCTATTGGCGATTTTATTACGTGATAATGAACAAGGCATAAGACCATAACAGTAAGGACTCAGAAGGAGAAATGCACAGTGTTGTTTTTTCGTCGTCTCTACTTATGCTCCCACCAATGGCAATCCGGATGAAGAGAAAGGTGAGGTTTACAGGGAGCTTTCTGAATTTCTTCAAGACGTTAAACTCCCAGACTTAGTAATCGTAGCAAGTGGTTTACATAACCAAACAAGAAATCTAAACCAAACCGAAAGGTTTATATGAGTTTTAAGGTGCCCCATATCAGCAAGCACATAACGACAATTATCCGCTCCAACTGTTCTCAAACAGGCATTTACTTCTACCAAGCACCAACTTTAAGCATAAGGCAATCCCCAGGATTAACTCAATGATGAACACAAATGGACCTTATCATCATTCATCATTGGAGAGGCTTGGTAGAAGACCCACATATTCTGGAGCAAATATTTTAACTCTGATCATACTTCACTTAGGGCACGGATTTGATAACCGCCCGGGTTACGTTCCTAATGCTGGTTTGCAGGTAGAGCGTGGCATTTGAGAATAACGGATATTCGTAGGTTACTGGTATTAGTCTTGTAGGACCAGGTAGGAAGATAGCTAGTGGGGGTCGAACGAAGAATTGGCACCAGTCCATGAAGTCATTGATAACTGGAGTGGAGTGTTAATAGGTGTACACTAACTGGTTTTATCGTAAATGATGGTTGAAAAATTTGGCTATTATGGTCCAGGTGTATTCACTCTTTGTCGTCCTTTAAAAATTCAGTCCTGAAGTATCCCTATACCGACTTATACTTTTTTGTGCCTAGTCTTTTTTTACCATTTCTAATTCGCTTACTACTTTTAATGCTGTAGTACTTTTCTTTATAAAATTATCCCACTGAGTTAATATATTGTCGAAGCATGAACTGCTGCACAAATGTGCCCGATACTACGTTGTCTATGGTAGACAAACTGAGTGACTCACTGAGATCTTAATCCCAGCCTTGGAAGTGTTGTTATTGTGCTTTTTGATAGTGTACCATCTTCATTTAGTGTATTGCTAAATGCATCTTCAAAGTTTTACTAACTACACATTTTCATTTTTTGCATGTATTGAGATCAATTGATAACAATCAATTCCCCTCATTCAATTACAGGCTTACTTGTGTTCTTGGCTTGTTTCGTGTGACAGAGCAAAATACAATCCCTGAATATACCTTTCGTTATAAAGAATTCAATTGTTGTTGGTGCGTTTGTACCTGGCTTTAGAGATACTCGTGAATCTAGGATTATCGTATGATACTCGGAATCAAATGCAAGAAGCATATTATCAGCTATAGGATCACCAGAAATATATTAAGGATTTAAATTATTTGACGATTATGACGACAGATCTCGTTTATCACATGTTATTTGAACAAAGACATTTCTGACGAAAT